AAACTCACTATAACCTGCTCAAACCAGCGCTTTTCCTCTGCTCTCACAGCCTCATGCTCTGTTTCTTATTTTATAATTAATCTGCAGATAAAATGCTAATGTATAACACAGCACAGGTTGTGTTAAAGCCTTTTCAGAGTGTGATGACGCCTGGGTTTGACATGCAGCAAATGACATGTGTGAATGAAACAAAACACAACTCTAGATGTGTTTGTTGAAGAAGTAACAATACTATGGCTTAAAGCTCACCAGAGTCTATTTTACACAATATAGGACCTGTAAGCGCTTATATATATTATGCAAAATGACCTTTAAAACCATATGATAGTGTTGGATCCTCATTAAAAACACAGACCTTGTAAACATCAGGACATGCAAGATTCTTTGTGCTGCTTGTTATGGCCTGACCAGCCCTTCCTCCTCGCTCCTTTGTTCTGTCAGATCCATGTGTGCTTTAGACCTGGGCTGAGGAAAGCCTTTCATTGTAACCAGAGGCCGATAGCACCTCTCTGTATGTGCACAGGCTGATTTGAATGTGTCTTGTTGGGTTTTGATGGATGGCTAATCTGCAGATAGAGGCAGAGCAAGGGAATATCAAACACCAAGCACTGTCAGGGGTCTGCACTTATTTGTGTGGAGCGATGGAGGGATGAGAGATGAGGGAATGGAGAGATAGAGAGACTTAGAGATGAGAGAAGGTGAAATTGAAAGATAGATGGAGGAATGGAGGGATGGGGGATGGAAAGATGAGAGGAAGAGGTTTAATGGGGAGATGGAAATGGAGGAAGAGATGAGAGATGGAGGGCAGGGGAAATAGAGGAAAAGAGAGATGGATAAAAGAGAAATATAGGAATGAGAGTGGAGAGGTGAGGGATAAAGGGAGGGAGAGAAGGAGACAGGTGGATTAACCAGTCAGAGAGACACATGCTTCGTTCATGTCAAAAACAAAGATGGCTGCTTACACATAAAAAAGGGGGAAAATACACAGAGTAAACAGCACAGATTTTTCACCAAACTGTTACTTACTGTTACAGGTAAAAAAGTTATATATTTTGTTCTGAATGTTTAGAGAATTTTGGAGAAGAGATGTCTTCCACATTTAAGAGACACATGCTACAAATTTGATCAGAAAGTAGAAGGCTGGTCAAGCAAACAAGATAGAGGGATGGAGAGATAGAAAGATTTATAGATGGAAAATGGAGAGATCGATGAAGATAGAGATTGTGGGCATAGCACCTTGAGAATGTCCATCTTATCAGATCTCAGAAGCTATACAGGGGTGGACCTGGTTAGTGCTTGGATGGTAGACTACTGGGAATACCAGGTGCCAGAAATCCTTGACCGGACGGTTTACTGACAAAAATCTCTAGAAGATCAGCCGCATGGAGTCTGAGTCCAGAGGGTCTCCCATCATCACAGAGCAGGGTAGATTCTGCTTAACCCACTGTCCCTGCCTGACACAGGTGATTGACAAGATCAAGGGTTTCTTCTCGTTGTGCTATGCCACAATGCCTGAAGTGTCACGAGAGAATGTGATGAAGAAGGCCTCTCTTTTTCTTGAGGAGCTGGTCCATGCAGTGGAGGATGTGTACTAAAATCTGCCCCCATTCATCATCCTGGGAAGGTTCAGAGGTCTGAACGAGACCCTCACTGATGTCAAAGCCAGCCAAGGTTCAGGAAGGGAGTCTGTTTTCAGACCCGGTCTAGAGAGCTCTGGGGAGAATCCGCAGACTGGTCTTCAGAATGTCCAGTCTCCACCAGACCACACCAAGACACCAGCTCACACGCGAGGAGCTGGCCGACCTCCCTCCTCAACCCCAGGAGCCAGCTTTTGCAAAGGCAAAAAGAAGGTCCATGTGCACCATGCTGCTCTGGCCCATAGAGGCTTCGGCTCCACGGTCCTGGAGGCCATCCACTTTAACCTGGTGTGGCCCCTGAAGAAGAAACACACTCTGGTCACCTGCACGCAGTATGCAGCATCTTCTACGTGCGCTAAACCAGGGGACCTGCCAGGTCCTCTGGGGCCCCTCTAACACAAGAGCGGGTCCCAGTCCCCCAAATATACACAGTGGAGGTAACACCATTATAGCATGTCTTAAAGCTCACAAGAGTCCATTTTGTGTAATATAGGATCTTTCATACTTCTGGATTAGCAATAATCACACTTCTGTTCAGATGTTTTGGTGTAGATTCTGTATCCATGGATCAGACTCAAAGTAGATGTTTGTGTGAGAATACCTCGCATTAAACAAGTATTTAAACAGTATTGAAATAGATGATAAATACTTTTATTCTTGGTTTGAGAAGAGCAAAAGCAAATGAGAATTAACATACATGCTACAGCGGCAGGTGTTCTTTAAAATCCTGTAAAATCCATATGTGTATCTGCTTATTCAGGGCTGCCAGAGGATTGGGGTATCGGGATTGTATGGCGCTATCAGAGACAGACAGGCACGAGAAGAGAGAGAGGGCTTGAGAGAGAGGAAGAGGAGAGAGGAAAAGAGAGAAGGAGAGGAAAGGCAGGGAAGGGAGAAAGAGGGCATGTTGGAAGAGAGAGAGAGAGGAGGAAGAAGGGGAGATAAAGACAGGTAGTAAAATGGGAGAGGGAAGTGAGAGAAAACACAGATTCAAAGAGTGGAGAGAGCGATGGAGAGAGAGAAAGAAAAGAAATGAGAGAGGAGATTTGAATGGACTCAGAAGGATTCAGTGCTTTAGGCTCCTGTGTTGTGCTGTATTTAAACACATTTACATCAGAAGAGACAGTCCTGTCTGCACTGATAAGACTAAGAACATGGATTATATGTTTTATGGGTGTATTTAAAGGCCTCATATTATACTATTTTCTGTTCTATGTTATAATGGTGTTTCGTTATCACAAACGTAGTTGTGTTTTGTTTCATTCACACGTTTAACACACAAATCTTGTACGTTTAGGCTGAGTTCTTCTGTTACATCCCCTTTGCTAGGGGAGAAAGGGAAGTAACAAAAAAAACAGGATGTTAAAGGTTTAACTAAAAATTGTGCATTTATTATTTACAGTGTAAGGGAAGACAAAAAAACAGGCAATTAAGGTGAAAATAAATAGGAATTAAACAAAATAATCTAATAAACTAAAGAGCCCTAAAAAAATACAATGTACCAAATCTAACTCAAGGTTTACTGCGAACAAAAAAAGGTGTCTCAACGAACTAAACGAGTCAACAGCCAGCAATATAACAAAATGAGACAACCCAACATCAAACAAAAGGGGCGAGCTGGCCGCAGTAATCCAGCCGCCTCGAGCAGGCGGAAGATGGTCCCTTTTCAATCTTCCGCTATCACAGGTGGCATCCGCGGATTGGTGGGAGCGCAGGGATGAAGGGCCAATCGCCGATGCGCTGCGACGCCAGCCTCCATCCCACGTCAGGTGCTCCCGCGCATCCGGGTCCAGGGCTCGCGGACCGGGAGCATCATGCGCAGACAAAAGCAATTACAGAAGAACGGGAGTACTTTAAACAAATATCCAAGGGCCGGGGCCCGTAACATCTTCTCTCAAACAAAAAACACTTTGTTCCTCCTTGTGATGTCATGTGGTAATACAGAAAGTGCTCCACTGTGTTTTTAAACTCCATACACCTACATTAGAATCGTTTTAGATAATTTCAGCCCTGGAGTTGTCAATCTCTACAAACTAAAGGTTAAAAATAGTTTTTACATGACATCACAAGGTGGAACAGAGCATTTTGAGCGTGAGAGATGTACACAGTCTAATAATACAGGGTTATTCAAACATTTGTAAATGAATAGTACTAGTAGTAGTTGTTGTTGTTGTTGCTGTTGTAGTAGTTCTAGTAGTGGTAGTAGTTGTTGTGGCAGTAGTAGTGGTTGTTGCGGCAGAAGTAGTAGTTGTTGTAATGGCAGTAGTAGTTGTTGTTGTAGTTGTAGCAGCGGCAATAGTAGTTGTTGTAGTAGTTGTAGTAGTGGTAGTAGTTGTTGTGGCAGTAGTAGTTGTTGTTGTTGTGGCAGAAGTAGTTGTTGTGGTAGTGGCAGTAGTAGTTGTTGTAGTAGCAGCAGTAGTAGTAGTAGTATATGATAATAGTGCAACTCTGAAGTGAAGAATGTATTACAAAAACATTTTATGTGTTCCTAAAAATCTGGAGAATGAATTTTGTGTCTGGGTCAAGGGTGGCATTTAAAGATTATCAAAAAAAACATTGGAATTTTTTTTTTCACTGTAAATTATATATTCCCCGTTCAGTAATAAGGTCTGGTCAAATCTCAGTCAAGGTGAAAAATAAATTAAAGTTTGGTGGGAGCCATTTATTTATAAGGACGTACTGCGTGCGCTTGGCTGTTCATTACCTTTTCAAATACTGGCAGAAACTATGTTCAAAATGTCACCAGGCGTGGATTGGATTGAGTGCTTAAAATGGGTCTTTGGTCTTTTGATTCACTTTTGATTAACAGTTGGTTGTAATGGGTGCACTTAATGTTATTGGTTTTCCATATTTGTCCTGTTACATTTGTCCAGACTGGAACTAACACATCAAAACAACTTTAGCGTATACCACATGCCTTACGTGTAACTTTTTAGCCAAAAACACACAAAAAAAGTGACCTGGCCCCAGATAAAGCAGAAGAAAATGCATGGAAAGAAGTAGAAAAAAAAAGATTATTATTATTATTGTCCGTTTTTATTTCACTTTACATTTTAGAAAAAACGTGCATTCTTACTTTGAGCAGGCTTGCATCTCCACAGACCTGACTCTGTTTGGCCAGAGGAGGGCCTCCACCATAGAAAACCACAGTATGGTACAAAATGTATCTATCTCCATGGAGAATGTTCCAAAGTATGGTTTTAACTATCTATTTCTGAATCATGCAGGTGACACCTCATCTCCATAGTTATGTAAAATTGCTTTCAAAATATATTCACAATTTTAGTAGTTAATCACAATCATAATGTAATTAAAATTCAGTTCTTCCTACATTTCCTATAATAACGCCCTCTGTTGTCTCAGGTGCTTTGGAGAGGACACTTGCATCTCGATCCCGGACATCGATGCCGTGGTGATGGTCCTGCAGCCCAGTGAACCTCGGATCACCATCACAGGAGTGGAAAGGCTGAGCTGGCCTGCCTCTGACCTCCGGGCACCAGGGGGCATCGCGCTTTTCCAGGACCTACACATCATCAGCACCGTGAAGAAGACAGACACCCCCACGCAGCACCACACAGGTAAGACACGGGGCGCATCCCATTGGTGTGAAAGAGCCTCCTAAATCCATCTGCTGTCCATTTAAATGCATAGGACCGGTTTGATGTTTTTCTAATCATCACTTCATTTAGTGGGATAGTACCATATCAAATCTGGAACCCAAGATTGCGTCTGGTGCTCTTCCGCATCACTTCTATACGAGAAAACACAATGACGTTACGTTTGGGTCAGCAGCCATTTTGGTAGGCAAAAAGCGTTCATATCAACAAGTCAGTATCAACAGTCTACATCAATATCGTCAACAGTTATCGGCGAGTTTTAACTTTTCAAAGAAACGTTTTTGATCCTCGACATTCAGTGACTTAGAGTAAGATGATGAAGTCATGTCAAAACAATTAAATGCAAAACCTACTTAAATAAGAGGAGTTATCTCATGACAAACATACGCAACGCAACTGTCAACACAAATGAGTGGCCCCATTGACTTTTTGCCTACCAGCCACTGCACACACGCGGAAAAGCCGGGTGTAAACAAAAACAGTGTTTTCTCATATACGGGACAGCTCCTCCTAGCATGACATCAGTCACGTGCACGAGTCATCTCTTTTGACCACTCTATCTAACGCAAACTCAGAGTGGGGACAATGTATTACGAACATATCATAATTGAACTTTCTACAGATGTACTAATGAGTAAAGATAAATTGTATACTTTCAACCTTGTAATTAGTATAGCAAAGAACTTTAGACATAAATATAAATTTGCTAATAAGAAATCTGCATTCAGTGTATTTTACAAAGAAATGAAATAGTACATTAAAACTATCCGACCTTGTAACAACCGAAAGCCTTTTAAAACTTTAGAATGTTGGTCAATGTATTTATATTAAGTTCAGTTCTGTTAAATATGTATTTATAACCCTGGTTTTATCAATTTAACAATTACTAATGTCATTTTGTATTGGAACTATTTGTATGAAATGTAAATGTGTAAGTGAAGTGCAATATTTCATAAAAAAAATAATTAATTATAATTTTAAAAAGCTCAGAGCGAGGCTAAGTCTTACAAAGCTAACTATTACGCGCTTTGTGGATTTAAAATTATTTAAAAGTTAATGTTGTAAAAAGAGACAAGAATCACTGCAAAATCTGTCCATCAAAACTGGGTCTAAACCTGGACCAGGACTAAAAGAGGACCAACCAAAATACATCGACACTAAACTGTGCCTAAACTGTTTTTTTTTTCTTATCCATTATTCAGATTCATAATTGGACTGTCACATACAGACCCCAGGCTCAGCACAGAGAAAGAGAGAGAGAGAAAGATGAATAAGGAAAAATAGGGAAAGAGAGAGTGAAAAATACAGATGATTATATAAATCCTTACCAGACGTCCAATCAACTCCTGCTGCCTTCTTTCATCTGTACCTTTGTCGACACAGAAACCAAAAGGAAAAACACGCAATGATTAAAGCTTTCACAGAGAGAAGTCCTGTCATTACCGACCTCGCTCTTTGTACTACCTTTTGTCCCTATTGAATATTCCTCCAAGGAACATATGTCTTTTACACTGTTCCCTTAAATCCCAGTCACTTTTGTACTACTTCAAATTACTACTTTACAATGTGCTCTCTATATAAAGTTAAATAAAAGTTTTGAGTGGTGAAAGCTTAGAGTTTCTTACCCAAAAGACCTCATTCGCAGGTCAATTGCAGTTCAAAATCATTTCTTGCATTTCCCTTTATGCGTCTGTAATACATTATTGCTCAATTATTTTTCAATGCTTTTGTGAAGACAGTTTGGCCTTGTCGGGGATTATTATTTAAGTGTTTTTGTTTTGTTTTTTATATTACAGAAAGATAAAATATATATACATATATTAATAGCACTTCAAAATTTAAAGGTGCACTAGCTTTTCTTGACAGGGATGAGCAAACGTTAACTATTACTACTGCTACTGCAATTACCAAATATTTAACTTCACCCTTTTTTATTTCATTCATAATATATTCATGCAGGTACAGTATATTTTTCAGTTTGGAACCAACAAGTAAACTCTTTTAGCAGACTAACAATTCCAAACCCGATACTAGTGGTGATGTTTTTAGAAGAGAAAAAAAAAGAGCGGCATTGCTTTCACCTCTTTCTTTTACAGATACCAGTTACTTTTCAACCAAAATAACTGCTTAGTAACTGCTACTGGGTGTTGAAAGTAACTAATTACCAGATAAAATAACTATTATATTACAAAAATTATCCTAAAAATTCACTCTAGCTGTTTTCTGTACATAAAAATGAGCTAAATCCAGCCTTATTTGACCTACAAATCACCACATGCACCAAGAGCCAGCATTATAAGCTATTCTCCACAGAGATCAATACCAAAACAGACTCACAACTGTACAATCACAACAGCACAGGGCAAACAGTTGTACCGTTTACACTCTCCGCAGACTCTGGAAAACAGCAAAGATTCAACCACTTGGCAGAGCTAAACCAATGAAATGTCAGGAATGTCTTTAGGGTTGTTGTACACTGCTTCTGATTGGTCACATTTACAGTCGATTCTCTTTTTAGCCAATCACTGTCTCTAATCCTTCATCGCGATCTTGTTTAAGTCCCAAAAAAAAGGAAAAACTTTAACAAAGAGTAACTATAACAGAGGAAAGAGGAATAAAATAAATAATAAAGTAATAAGAGATTACTCATTACTAGGGGTTTAACGATATCCAAGTCTCACGATACGATATCATCACAGTATGAACCTTACAGTATGATATTTATTGCGATATCATGGGAAAGCTCACGATATGGTGGGGAGGCTCACGATTATGGCTGTAGCAATATCCAAATCCTTACGATATTTGCGCAATATTTTTCGATACATCTCACGGTACAATATTTATTGCGATATATTGTGGACGCCAAAAACTGTTACCTATTGCTGCACCTTAACTCTTAATTTAAGCAAAGAGACTTGTAATTCAATATATTGTGATGATCCACGATATTATTGTGAGAACTTTGCCGATATGATATCACGATATTTCGGTTATTGTTACATCATAACTCGTTACAGATAAAAGTACTAACCAGCACCGCAAATTAACTATAACTGTGACATCTGCTTCTCCATGGAGACAAGTTTGATGCCATATTGTGGAACATTTTACCAGGGGTCTTCAATGTTTTTCAGGCCAGGGACCCCCAAACTGATGGAGAGCTGGAGCAGGGACCCCCTACTACTATATATATATATATACGGCATACAATTGTGTTTTATATTAAATTGGGCCTAGTTGTACATTTAATAATGGGGGGTATTCCATCAAAGTCACTTACAAAGTCCAGGCTTATCCTAAAATCCTGAGCTGAAACTAGCTCCATCCAGCTCCAGTTTAAGCCTCAACTCATTCCATGACAGAAAAAAGCCTGAATCTGACCAAAGCTAATTCAGGCCTGAAGTTTAAGATGCAGTTTGTGCGCTCACGGTGACTCTGAGAAGACCAGATCAATGGAGCAACGACATCAGGGAAAATGGGCCCAAAGTGTGACTTTTTTAATGATCTGACTAAACGAGAGAGAAGCCACAGCGTGCACCCGCAGAGTTTGATTTGGGGCACAGAACTTTTCTGCTCATTCTGATCTGAGGAGCGAGAGGAAAGACACGACTCCCCCCATAATCTCCTGTTCACGCTCCCTTCTCTCTCATTTTCTCCCCTATGCAGCCATGCCTTCTCTCTGTCCACGGAGCGACCGGGAGAGGAGGCTGGCTGCGTGAGTGCGGACGCCGGAGTCTGGTTATCCACGCCGTGGTGTTTGCGGTTTGACAGGAACCGTGAGACGAGGGAATGAAGAGAGAGGGACAGACGTGATGAACGAGCGAACAGACAGAACCCAGTGAAAACCAGTTCATCCTTCATCCATCAAATGTCAAATCAGCCAAAGATTTTGCGACCCTCCTGCAGTACCTTGTCACAACCTCACTGCTGAAGAATATAGACCCAACATGAGAAAAGTTACACAGAGCTTAGTTCAGTTCTGGGGGTAAAGAAAGGATGACTTACTCCTAAATACTAAATACTAGTGGTGATGTTTTAGACCTGCCTTCTCTGTAATGTAGAGCTATAGAAGAGAAAAAGAGAGGGGCATTGCTTTCACCTCTTTCTCCTGCTGAAATAGACTGCAGCTGGGATCCACAGATTAGCCAGAGCCACAAAGAAAGTGAAACGAAAAAAAAAAAAAAAAAAAAAAAATGGTAGAAGATGGGAAAAGTGTTTCTGCCAGTGTGTGTGTGGCGAGCCCAACCAGCCCCAATGAAGTTTTATAATGAGCAGATTGTGTCCCCTCTCGAGGCTTAAAGGATTTCCAATAAATCAAATTATTTCTTTTTGGTGAATCCCTGTTAATCTAGCTGGCGTTCTACTCTGATCTATTGTCTCGCTGTGTCAGTCATTTGTGTTATTAAGAAGCTCAGCCCGCATTCAAACTGCTTTATTATGATAACTTTAACGGCTGCCAATGTCACCAAATCCTTAGCTCACGGTGTTCTGTAAAACTACTTCCACTCTGGGTCATTTATGGATTATTACGCTCTGCAAGAGACTTTCCCTTTTTCTATTTGAATGTATTTCCAAGCCACCCACACTCTAGAGTAGCCATAGCATCGCACTGAATTTCTATTATATCGGCTAAAGAGTCTTTGCTTTGGTCAGCGCAAGTTTGTACTCTTGATTTATTCTTTTGGAGACGATATAGGACACAGGATAAGCAAAGGGAATTCTATTTTCTGCGCCCACAAGACAATATCCAGTTTAATTTACCTTCTTATGCCAAGATTTATTTTTTTTTTTTTGGGCGGTACATTCAACAGTTGGTTACTTTTGTCTTTGGAAAACAACTCAGATCTTAAAGGTGCATTGTGTAACTTTTCTGGTGGAGGGTCTGTCATCTGCTTGTTTCTACGGAGATGTCATTGTGCTGCCTGGAATGTTCCACAGTAGGACATTAAACAGCTCTACCTTACATTTATTCAATTACAGGTGAATATACAGGTGAAGCATTTGATGGACCTTCAATCAGAAAAGTTACAAAGTGCACCTTTAAGAATTATTATTTTAAAGGATTATGTAACTTTTCTGATGGATGGTCCACCACCTGCTTGTCTCCATGAAGATATTCCACAGTACAGCATTAACATCATGGAGAAAAGCAAGTGATACCTCCAGAGCAAGTTACAAGTCAGATCTGTTCACAGTATGAATGCAGTTTTTTTAATTGTATTTTGAGCGATAAAAACCAACCAACCAATCTAATAGGATATTTTGGGTAATTTGATTCAAAGCAATACCATCTCCATGGAAACCAGGAGTTTAAATACCCCCACTAGAAAAGCTTCATAGTCCACATCCAAATCCACTTTATTTCTATAGCACGTTTTACAAACAAAGCAGTTTCCAAAGTGCTGCACAGAGATCAATAAAATGAAGATCACAAAAAGGTAAATTGCTAAAATATGATCATGAACAGTCATAAAACAATAAAACCAGTAAAAGCAAATAAAAGCAAAACTATAAAAATCATAAAATAGCAGTAAATAAGTAAAATAAATAAAAGACACAGGGGACCACACAACTCACACAGTGTTAAAAGTTAGAGAATAAAAGTGGGTCTTAAGCCAAGACTTAAAACATTCCACTGTGGGGGCTGTTCGGACGTGGGGGAGCAGAGTGTTCCAGAGCTCGGGGCCGACCACAGAGAAGGCCCTGTCCCCCCTGGTTTTAAGTCTCGTCTTAGGCACCATGAGCTGAAGCTGGCCCTCAGACCTCAGAGTGTGTAAATCAGGATGAGGTCCAAGACATATTTGTCCGAGATGTCAAAGCTTTAAAAACAAACAATAAAATCTTAAAATCAACTCTACAACGAACTGGAAGACAGTGCAACAACACTAAAATTGGGGTAATGTGCTCACATTTTTTGGTTCAAGTTAAATGGCGTGCAGCAGAATTTTGGACCAACTGTAAGTGAGAACGTGCATGGTGGCTAATGCCAGAGAAAAATGCATTACTGTAGTCTAAACAAGAGGAGATAAAAGCATGCACCTTTTAAGCTGTTTTTCTTTTGCACTTTACTTTTTGTTGAAAATTTGTAGAGAATCTTACATTATAGATGGACAACTTGGCTTGCAAAGTTATTGTGGGAGTTTTGTGTCTTTTGTATTCTTGTTAGAAGTTTACCTATTGTTTTTATTAGTAGATGCTTGTAAAATGTAATTTACCATATTTTTCAGACTATGAATCGCTCCGGAGTATAAGTCACACAAGCCAAAAATTGTGTAATGGAGAAGAAAAAAACATATATAAGTCGCACAGGACTATAAGTCGCACTTTTGGGGGAAAATTATATTTTATAAAGTCAGAGACCAGCACCCTACATTTCATCTTGAAATAACAATAGAACAGAGAGCAACAGGCTGAATATGCATCTGGTATGTTAATGTAACATATGAACATTCTGAATACCAACAGGATGATTTCGGTTGTCACTGAAGTCCAGGCTTTGTCGATCCATTCAATGACTTCTAGGAAAGTTGCATGGTGCACTCTCCCGGTTGCCGTGAAGCTGTGTTCTCCATTCCCACTTTCCTCCAGTCACTCACAAATTTACCGATTACAAGTTTTTCGATTACCATTTTCGACTGAATATTTCACTAATTGCAGCAGGACAGTGGCATTTTCTGCAGGAGACATGTGCAGTAGGGCATGAAGTGACAATGCTACAGTAGTAGTAGATACTGGCACACTAGCCTAGAACGCCCTCTCGCGGCTGTCAGTGTGAAAATTTTAATATATAAGTCACACTGGAGTATAAGTCGCTGGACCATCCAAACCATGAAAAAAAGTGTGACTTATAGTCCGAAAAATACGGTATTTTCACTGCACAAACCCGTACAAACATGAGTATTCTTTACGGCCTGTTACATACACCTGCATATGTAGAATAGTTAGAAGCTGGGTACTAAAGAAAAAGAGAGCGAGAGGAGGACCCCACGCATCCCTCTGCTCGCTCGTCCCGTGGGGAGACAGTTAAACGGCTCCATCTCGAGGGAGAGTACAGTGGGAGAGAGACAGGGCCGTACCCCAGAGAGGAGCAGGGGAACAGGGAACAGACGGAGGAGGCGCCTGCAGCTGTCTAGAGCTCTGGTGATGGGACAGGCCTGTCGTATGAGGGAATATTCACTTGTACAGATCTGTTTGATATTAGCCTGAAGAAGAGCTCACCATCTGTCATCCAGCTATTCATCTCAATTAGACTTATTTTTGTATCTCGCCAGCAGTCGCCTTAGAGGGCTGTATGGAAGATCATTTGTTTGACCAGATTTAGAATTTTAATCTTTATTTAGACAGTTAAATTTGAGGTCCTGAAAATATATGCGTTGAATATTTAAACTGAGAAAAACATATAGAAAAATGTGTATTGCAAAATCCAGTGATCTGTTTGTCTCTTTCTGGGTGCAGTGCGTCGCCCCGGGGTGCTGGAGGAGATCATCCATAACCTGGACTACTGCGACGTGCTAGTTTTGGGGGAGGAGCTGAGGGCGGACCAAGAGTCTCTACAACTGCAGAGGAGCGCTCTGATCGGGAAGCACCTGGACGCTACAAACTCCACCTCTGGGATGTCCATATACGGTAAGTCCAACTGAGACATGCCCATATATGGTAAATCTGTATATCCATATATGGTAAATCCACCTGAGACAAGTCCATATATGGTTAATCAACCTGGGACATGTCCATATAGTTGAGACAATCAATCACCTGAGACAAGTCCATATATGGTTAATCAACCTGGGACATGTCCATATATGGTAAATCCACCTGAGACATATCAATATATGGTACATATCCATATATGGTAAATCCGCCTGAGACAAGTCCATATATGGTTAATCAACCTGGGACATGTCCATATATGGTAAATCCACCTGAGACATGCTCATATACGTTAAATCTACCTGAGACATGCCTAAATAAGGTAAATCCACCTGAGGCATGTCCTTATATGGTCAATCCACCTGAGACACGTACATATATGGTAAATTCCCTTGAGACATGCCCATATATTGTAAATCTACCTGAGACATGTTCATCTATGGTAAATCTGCCCGAGACATGTCCATATATGGTAAATCTGCCCGAGACATGTCCATATATGGTAAATCCACCTGAGACATGTCCATATATGATAAAAAACACCGAAGACATGCTCATATATGGTAAATCCACCTGAGATATTTCCATATATGATAAATCTGCCCGAGACATGTCCATATATGGTAAATCCGCCTGAGACATGTCCATATCTGCCTGAGACATGCCCACATATGGAAAATCCGGCTAAGACATGTCTTTATATGGTAAAAACACCTAAGACATGCTCATATATGGTAAATCCGCCTGAGATATGCCCAAATATGGTAAATCCACCTGAGACGTGGCTATATGGTCTGAGGAATATATCAAAAGTGCAGTTTGCAGTCTGACCTGGAAAAGATTCTTCTTGCTTTTCTTTCAGGACGTCTTGATTATTGTAAGTCTGTATTTAGCTGTTTTAATAAGACTGCACTTAACAGATTCCAAACAGTGCAAAACTCTGCTGCCAGGCTTTTAACACGAAGCCCCAGAACGCTTAATGGTCAACACATAAGCCCCGTTCTTTCATCCCTCCACTGGCTTCCTGTAAAGTTCAGGATTGATTTTAAAATTTGAGTTGTTACTTTTAGAGCACTCCCCCCACTACATCCTGGACCTTTTAACCCCCTTTACTCCTCCGCTGCTCCATTCAGAACCTGCTGGTGGTCCCAAAAATCAGGTTTTAAACTCGGGGGGGACCTGTCTTTTCAGGCTGTGGCCTCAAAATTATGGAATGCTCTGCTCCTTTCTCTCCATGTGGCCAACTGTGGATTCATTTAAAAAGCAGCTGAAGACACTCCTGTTTAGAAAAGCCTTTTGTTAACTTGGTTGAGTCCTATAACCCTATTTTTATTTTTTTTTTTTTTTAGTTATTGTTGTGTTTTGGCGTACCTGCTCTCTGTAAAGCACCAAGTTTACTTACTTGCTATGGTCCGTCCAGCTAAGAGAAGTTTATTAAGTAATTCGTTTGGATGATTCAGTATGTTCCCCGTATTGATAGATCTTGATTTTCAATTTTCTTTTTTCTCTTCGAAAGCAAAATGAAAATGTCTTTCTATATTGATTTTATAAACAGTGCCATTATACACAACAATAGTCAAATCCTCCAAACTGCTCCACTTTTTCATTCACTTTTTTTTGGCTGGACACTTCTCACTTAAAAAAACCCCAAGCTGATCAGTGACAGTTAGAAAGGACTGACTCTCGATCCCGATTAACATTTATTCATTTCCCAGCCATAAGTGTCATATTTAGCTTCTCTGTGTGGTAATTTAATTCTAATTCAGTCAATTAATTATATTTACTAAGTTGTTCATTTTAAAAGCAAGACTTGTTGTCATATTCAAATTGTTATAGACTGTCACATTTCAAAAATAAGTTTAAATTTGAGGCAATGTACTTCCAAAAAAATTATCAATATATGTTTTTATTTCTTTGCAAAGTGATTTTATGAAGCACTTTGAATTAGGACTGCACAGTGTATCGCAATTAAATCCAAACATAATATGAGCTAGTACAGTTGAAAATAGCAAAAGCTGCAATTATTCAGATAGTAGAATGCAAAGAACAAAAGATTCTGTCTTTTTTTTCTGTCTCTTCAAATGTTAATGCTCCTGGAGTTGTTTACAATGTGCACTCTGAACAAAATTTTACTTTTTAAAGCAGCACTGTTCAGCAAAATCAAGTTTTCAGAGCTTTTAAGCATGTTTGTTGTATTGTAGAAATTACATTTGGAGTGATCTGTGCATGTTTGAGCAATCTTTACTTATTCATCTTTAATTACTTATTTTCAAGAAATAAAAAAAAAATCTGCTACGCGCGAGTGTGGTCTGCAGATAATTATCGTAGTTGCTGGCTCTTTGTTGCGATGACATTTACTTTTGGACACCATTGTTTTCTAATACAAAGTCAACAGACAACAGACTTGTTTCTTTGATTAAGATGTTTTAGATCACTATACTATATTTAAAATGTACAGATGAAAACATAATGAATTCATATAAAATGAATGAGCACTGAACATGTATAATTCCACTGTATTTATATAGATAAAATTGTATTTTGGATTGTGTCTTATGTATATTAGTATAGAAAAGCTCAACCAGGGACGGGAGCTAAAAATGAGCATTTGCAAGCTTTGTTTTGTAGCTATGTCTGATTGCACTCTCCCTGCCAAAAAAAAACACTAATAACTATATAGCAGGCTTAAGAACAATATGTCTTCTTTAAACAATATTTTATAAATTGAATCCAAAAAATTTTACAGCCCTAGTTTCAAATGATGCTACAAATAAACTTGCATTGACTTACTAATGTCTCCTCTCTCTTTTTCCTCAGGTGTAGACTCCATGGCGAACTACGAGCAGGTGATCCGGGAGGTGCGCTACTTTAACTTCCAGCCGTCACACGTCACAGAGAGACGCTTCAGACTCACATGCTCCGAACTCAACGGACGCTACACCAGCAATGAGTTCACCCTAGAGGTCAGTGTGGATACTGCACACTACAGGGAGCAGAGAGGGTCAAAACAGAGCGACACAGAGCTTTGGACGGTCAACTCATTTATGATATACTAGTTCTCTTTTTCAGATTTTTATTATTTTCAAAGATGCTCTGAGTAACCTTTCTGGTGCAAATCCAACACCTGCTTGTGTCCATGGAGATATGCTCCCCCAGTATGGCATTAAACTTGCTTATTATTTAATTATGGGTGTTTTTTACAATAAAACAATACCTTGAACATCTTTGCATTTTACTGTAAGCAGGCCCACCTCTCCACAAATCGGACCTGTAAATTGGCATGGTTCTTGTCTCCATGGAAACAGATACATTTACCATAATTTCTGGACTATATAAATTGCTACTTATTTCTCACACTTTGAACCCTGCTTGTTATACAACGATGCAGTGAATATATGTGGACAGATTATTTGTTTGGCGGCTTATATTCAGGTGCGGCCTATGTATTTACAATTTAAAAATTTTGTTAAATGTATTTAATGTGGCTTATATTCAGGTGCGCTCATTTACGTCCAGAAATTACAATCATTACATATTGTAAAAAACTGAAGGCAAAAGCAACAACATCTCCATGGTCGTGGACCCTCCACCCTTTAAGTGTTATAATTATAGTCAGTTGTAGATTATAATAGAGATTTTCCATTGTTAAAGGCGTGTAACTTTTCTAAGCATTTGCCACCTGCTTGTCTTCATGGAGATGTTATAGCTTTTTGTAATGTTCCGCAATATGCAAAAGAGTCTGCAGGCACTGTATGGAGCTCCACTCTGTCACATCCAGTGTAAAATTGATGTATATGTATATTTTAAATGGGAATAAGTTAATAATTTAGGATGGCTTGGTTATGGTTTGTATAAGGTTTAGGGGTTGATATTTTCGTATGATTTTATTTTTGTTTATTTATGAGGGACAATGCACATAAAAGCACACAAAGATGAATATGTTTGTGCAAAATTTGCTTATTTTCCAGCTTCACTGGACATGTTGGTATCATGAATGGCGTACATGCCAATAAAATACAGTGTATATTAATGCTATCATTCAGCCAGAAGGAAAACTATAGTCTCATTCAATCTCAGTCACCACATCCATACACTATACACCATTAAACCAAAACAGATACATGTTTTCTAGATGTTTCTTTGGCCTGTAATTAAATAAATGCCAGATACAGTAGATGAATCTATTAATGCTCTAAAGTGGAACATTTCAGGCAAAGCACAAAAACATCTTCATAAGACAGACAGGTGACACAGCCCTACATTTGAAGTTACATCACAAACCTTTATAATAATAGTGATATTTCTATGACAAATTAATTCCTTATTTTTTATCAATACACGTTTAGAATGAGATAGTTTTTACTACTTTTTATTTCTAACTTCTAACCAGTTCTTTGTAGTCCTATGTACCTGTTCAGTCAAATCCGTATCCAGCCACTTTGAGCTGTTTACTTCACTTCTCAACCAAAAGAAGCCATTTACTTTCACTATTTCAGAAGCTTTTTCCTTAAACGCTACGCAAAACGTCTAATCTTCCACCAATTTCACATGCTTTTTTAAACTAAACCAAGAAGAAATTGGATCTCGGTTGAGTCAATACTTGATCACAGTGTAATCATGATGTGTTGTTGTGTAGAAGGAAGCTGGAGGTTGTTTTGTTTTTGTTTTTTTTGCCCTAAACACGTTGACACTGCAGTCCCAAGCCTGGATAAATAAAGTAGGCGTAGGCTTAGACTGGAAGGGCATTTAGTTTAATTTATGTATTTTTATTCAGATATATATATATATATATATATATATATATATATATATATATACATATATTTTTATTTTTTTTATTTTTTTTTTTGCCTTGATATGAAACATTTTCAGATTTTGTGGCATGACATAGTTAAGGACAGTTGCAATGTTTAAATTTAAGCTTAAGTTTTATAACAAATACCATGAAGTAATAAAATGTAAAAAAATAAAAAAAAAAGGAAAGGAAAACAATAACACAGGTATACATTCAGAGATGGGTAGTACTCATTTACATTTTCTTGAGTAACTTTTGAGTACTTTTCTAGCAGCATACTTTTACTCCTGCTTGAGTAATATGTTTCATAGTGTTTTTACTTGAGTAAAAAAGAAAAAAAAAAAGATTTATGAATAATCAAATGTTTTGTCCTTCCAAATACTAAAAACTACTTTTTTTTCTCTTACTTGAGTAATTTCTTGGACCACTACTTTGTACTTCTATTGGAGTAATACTATTTTGAAGTAACTTTGCTAACCTACATATTGTTACTTGCACTATGTCACTTTTTGATTGAGGGTCCGTCACCTGCTTGTCTCCATGGAGATGTCATTGCTTTGTTTAGAATGTTCCACAGTATAAATTAAACCAATATACAAGAGAGACAATTAGGTTACAGCAGTACACTATATTACAAGTCAGATCTGTGGAGACTCGCAATAGAAACACCAGTAATGAATAAATGCTGGATAGATATGGTAAAGTACAAATGTAGGTTTTTATGATTCTATTTTTTTAACTTGTGGTGAGATAACATCTTTTGTAAATATAAATTATAGCTTTACACCAAACAAGAAGCAATTTGTGAGGAAAAATGGCAAATATATTGAAAGAAAGTTCAATTTTAGAGAGTCCCATATTGATAACATCACACTGGGAAAATTCTGTCCAAACGTTTGTCACAATTTACACACAATTAATAAATTTTTCAGATACTTTAAGCATGATTTAGCCAAAAGTGAAGGTGTTTTCTTATATTTCTACTTGTCAGATAATAATCTCTGTCTACATTAGAAGAGTTTTGCCCCATTGTACTACAGTTATAGAATTTCCTAGTGTGATGTCATGATTAATATAAAATATAAATGAATTAATATTTTTTTAAAAAAAATCTAAAAAAACTGCTAAATTGGGAGAAAAAAAAGTTCAGTATTTAGTTAATTTGTAAATATAATGATCTTAACTGTGCAATATAAGTAATCCAATGTGTCATATGCTCTTGAAATGTCATATAATAGCGTTCCGGGCAAAACAATAACATCTCCATGTAGACAAAAAGTTGCGCAGTGCACCTTTAAATACATTTTGGCTACATTCCCACCTGTGCTTAAAGTGCATTGTGACCCTTGTATGTTTGTGTGTACACAGGTGAGCGTACTGCACAGCTCTCAGAACGGTCAGACTGGAGCAGAGCACGTGAGTCATGTGGTGGCCCCTCCTCAGTACATGCAGCTCGTCCATCACCCCAGTATCACCAATGACATGTACCCAGGCCACAGCTCCGGTGAGTCTGCCACACACTCACACTTCACATGATTTCACTTTTAATAGTCTTATAAAGTGTGAATAAAGACCATGAAAGTATTGAAAAACATTCAAAACCACCTCACACACAAACAATGGCTTTCATATAACACCTCAACATTTTATAGGCCTATATCATTGAAAAGACTAATATTACACAAAACTAACTCTTCTAAACCTTCTCAGAGACAATGAGCCTCTTTCATGAAATGTTTTTATGATCCAGTTTGTACTTAAGGCCTCTTACGAACACTTTTGGCATTCACAAAACTTTTTTCTTAACTCAGCATGTTCTTCTGTGAGTACAAATCCTAGGAACAGCCAGGAGCACTCATCAGAACAAAAATTGTACTGTTTTAGAATATTATTACTCTGACAATGCAACAAAAAATTCAAATTCCTCCATGGTTGTAAGTTGTATATTTTTTCTTAAATTATTTCCTACTGTGTTACTATGTGATCCAATAACATGTATGAGGTGTTTTATAGAGCATGTAGTCTGCCGGGTCTGACAGACTTTCTCCAGGCTGCAGTGAAGCCTCTGTATGTCTCAGCCCCAGTGCTCTCTATATGGGCCACTGACACACCGACCCCAGCCCCCCTCCCTCTTTATTTATCACGGGTCCGCAATCGCGGAAAAGCGTGATAAATTTGATAAAAGTGCCCACTTATTTAAGTTTATGACCTAAATATTCTCTCAGTGAGTGTGTTTATGGTGAGTTTGGACATTTGAAATCACTGCTGAAGCTGTAAAACAGCCGTAGTCTCCACCTCCACCTGACCTCTTCCTCGCACTTTTCACTCAGAATGCCAAACCCATATTGGGCATATTTGGAAGTTCAGAGGGCGTTTCTAACCAAATACATATTAATATTCTATGTTTGTAGCTGGGTACAACTGAATTTCCAAGCTTAACAACGCTTTGTGAATCTGGCATACAGTTCTCTCAGCATCTTCTTAAAGTGGAACTTACGAACATTTTTAAGAAAACATTAATGAATGAGGCCCATTATTATTATTGTCTGACATCTCCAAAGCTCAAAATGCTCTGTTCCACCTTGTGATGCAACAGAGCAGAAGTTTTAATGTCCACAACTACACCGTCTTTAGTTCATTAGAGATTTGGAATTTTAGGGCTGAAACCATCCAAAAGTTTCTAGTGAAGATGTATGGACTTAAAAAACACAGTGGACGCACTCTCGGTCTCCCCCTCTCCCTCCCTGCCTCCCTCTCTCTTTTTCTCTTCCTTTCTCTGTCTCTCTTTCCTTCAAGCTCTCTGTCCTTCACTATCTCCTTCTATCTCCTTTTCTCTTATTGTTTCCTATGTCCTTCACTCTCTCTGTCCCTCACATTTCTCTCTCTTTCCCTCCATCCTTTTCTCTATCCTCCCCTCTTTATATCTCTCCCTTTCTCTCTGTTTCTCTCTGTCTTCATCTCTCTCTCTCTGTCTCCCTCCTCCTCCTCTCTCTCTCCATCACTCTCTCTGCTGTACCAGTGACCTGAAATAAAGAGAACATGGTGTAAGGGCGTAGTTTTAATCTAAAACTCCAGTGTGAATAATTCATGTCTCTCTGATGGAGTGGACTCAGAGGCTGTGACTTCAGAGCTGCACAAGAGTGTGTGTGTGAAAGGAGGTCAGTGCAGAGTAAAGAACAGGCCTAAAGACTGTCACATTTCAACAAACTATAAAACACGAGTCCCGAGTGCAGCTGGAGAAGAGTTTCCAATCCTTACAATGGTCTCTCTTCTGTTGATTCGTAATTCAAACATGTTTAACATTATTGAGATCAGTGGTGGAATGTTTGTAAGTAAAAGAAGTAAAGTACTGTATTTAAGTATACATTTTAGGTTTCTCTGCTTTATTTAAGTACATTTTTACATGGATACTTTTTACTTCACTACATTTGAGAGCAGGTGTCTGTACCTTCTATTCCACTACATTTTCTAACTAGACTGAAAAGTAAAAGTACTTTCCATATGTGTTTGAGACCTGCTGAAAAGCCTGAGGATTTATTTTTAACATGTTCGTAGTTTGAGCAAAAATAAACAAATAATAAAAATAGCCAGGGAAGAAAATCAATTGAGTTTTTTCAGTTGAACAAAACTGAGCACAAATCTATGTCTATGACTATGACTATGTGTCTCGGCTGGCCTGGGACCAGAGGAGCTGGAGGAGGTGTCAGAGGAGCTGCAACCCAACCCCGGATAAGCGGAATAAAATGGATGGATGAACAAATCTGTATCAGAATCAGTATATGTGAAGTCCTATACCTAAAAATCTGCAAAGTTAAATACTTTTACTTTTTACTCATTAAATACTTTTGGAAATGGGTACTTTTACGTTAGTCGATTTTTTCATGTGATACTTTTACTTGAGTGTTTTTTTTTTTGGTCAGGTATCTGTACTTTTACTTAAGTAACAAAATTTGTACTTCTTCCACCACTGTTGAGAACTTTTGTGAAACTCAGTGCACAATTTTCTGGTGGTTACTCATAGATTTGTCTTCAGATATGGGTAGTACTCAGTTACATTTACTTCAGTAACTTTGGTCACAATATATATTTTTTGTTCCTATTGCCATGATGCATCTGGTTACCATATTTGGTTTGGCTACACCAAATTTTTTGTCAGGACATCCCATTGGCAAGGACAGATTTTGGCTTGTTGCCATGTGAACCTAATGTGAGCTGGGGTGTGAGCATCACTGACTGATCAAGACCATGCCATAAATGTGCGTACCAAATTGTGTATATCTACGACAAATGAAATGTTTTTGGCAAAATTTCATGAGTTTTCATCATTGTTCAGTGGGTGAGAAATGGGTGAGTTGGTTACGAGAAAAATAAGAAATAAGCAAGAACTTGTGGTACTAATAGGCCCTTTGTCAGCTTCAGGCACTCGGGCCTAATAATATTCTGATACATGAACAATGTTCCACTTTTTTTTGGCTAACAAGTTATACATTTTCAGAAAGCTCTGGCGCATTGCTACGTCATGCCGGGGGTCCCTGGTCACTACAGGCCAGTCACATCGCATCATTTCACTTCCTGACCACTAGTAGCATCACTTTGCAATACTAATAGGCCCTTTGCCAGCCTCTGGCACTCGGGCCTAATGATTAAAAATTCAGTTCAACGCCAGACTTATCCCAAGACTTGCCTTAGTACTACATCATAAACTGCGTAATCTCCAATAGAAGACCCCCAACTTGTGTTTTCATGTAATTATTTATGTTAAGAAGCAGAGTGTTGAGATATCAGTACGCCCTAACAGTCTGGAGATCAAAGCTTCGGTGCGGTTTAGATCCAGGGAACGCCACTGATCCGAATAAGGATTTCTGAGTATTTTCCAAAGTTAAATATGGACCTAAAGGGACCAGGCAGCAACATCAGAAGCACACAATCCAACATTTTATATCAAGAGAGCTCCTTCTGCACGCAGGGGAGGTTAGATGCTCCCAAATACATGTTATGATACATCACCGCAATTAAAGCAATGTTATTTTACGGAGGTTTTAGTTATTTTTTGAAGTGGGCAGTGGCTCTGACATATGTTAAGGCAATTATAATTATAAGAGTGATGGGTGTGAATCAAAGTGGACGACGGTTTGTGAGGTCTGACTTTTAAAGGGCTCATTTTACACTATTTCCTGATCCGTGTTACAATGCTGTTTCCTCAAACAAAACACAAGTCCAGGTATGTTTTTGAGGAGGTAACAGCATTCGAACATGTCTTAAAGCTCACAACAATCCATTTTGCGTAATATAGGCCCTGTAAGAATTAGAATCACTTTGATCTGAGTTGGCTCAATAAGTGAATGTAATATTGGCAAAGTTTTCTTAAAAAGATCAGAGTTAAAATTATCAGACAACGAGAGACTCTGAGGTCAAGATCAAGAGAGTGTATTTGGCAAAGTACAAAATACAAGCTTTAGTACAGCACTCGATGTTTTATTCTCAGAAGCTAATCAGGATTGTGTCTGGGAATGTCACAGTAGGGGAACAGTGGTTAGAATGCATACTGTTGTTGTGTCCTGAGGCAAGACACTTCATCCACTTTGCTTAGTATGAATGCTCGACTATGAAGAAAATGAATAGACGTGTTTCATTACGTTGAACCATAAAGTTTCACAAGTTTCTACCACAGCATCTAATATGATGCAAGATCACAGTTTATGCAGCATGCTACTCATTTTGTGTTTTGTCATTTTCTGAAATTCTTTTCTGAATATGTTTGACAATATCTACTGTTGCGTTTAATTTAAAGGTGTAAGGTGTACATTTTGTAACTTCTCTGGTAGAAGATCCGTTAAATGTTTGTTTCTGAGGAGATGTTATTGCTTTGTCTGGAATGTTTCACCATATGGCATTAAATTTTCTATCATTATGGAGAACATATCAGGCCAAATTATGGGTCAGAATGCCTGTTTTTCTATTTTTGAGCTATAAAACCACCTGTAATTGAATAAGTATTAGGAAGGAATGTAACAATAACCATGATATCGTATCATCAAAGTTCTCACAATGGTATCGTAGCCCATCACAATATATCAAAGTACAAGTCTCTTCGCTTAGATTAATAATTGTGGTGCAGTAATAAGTTAAAAAAAACAGATGGAACTGCATAGACCATGATCCTTTGCTCCATTTCAGTGCTACTACGTGGAGAAATAACAGTTCTAAGCTATTCTAAGTCTTTTTTGGGGGGGATTGTCAAGGCATTTGAAGAAAAAGTTGCGTTTTTTTAGCCCCCACATAATATGGCAATACATATCGTACTGTGAGATACACATTGTGAAAATATTGTACCCAGAGATTTGGATATCATTACATCCCTAGTGTGAGATAAAACTGTTTAATGTCACACTGTGGAACATTCCAGGCAGAGCAATGGCATATCCATAGAAACAAGCAGGTGACGGACCCCCAACCAAAAAGTTACATTGTTCACGTTTAAAGATATATGTACTTATTTGGTCAAATCTTGTGAACGGAGACATGAAATTTCCTTCTCCTTTTGTCCTCAGGTGTCCCGAGTGCAGCCACTGTGGTGATCGTGATGTGCACGCCGCCCTGGTGGTGGTTGTGGTCATTGGCATCTACCGCATCCACATAACGCACCAGCAGGACGTCCGGCTGAGTGAGAACAGCAAAGACTCCGACATAACGTGGGACAGTGCGGCTCTCAACATCACAGTCAACCCGATGGAGGTGAGAGGAAGTACATGTACCATGAGTATTCAGGTACACAGTGTTCGTTACTGTGGACTGTGTAAAAGTAACATTACTGCTTTGCCTTTTATGGTTTGATTATAGACCCTCCTGCAATTCAAACAGAAAGTAGGAGGGACTGGCAAGCAACATGAGATTAAAAATGAAAAATACCAGTACCTTTTTTCAGTGATAATTCAACTCAAACAATATAGTCTGGTGTCATTTGCCCTGTTTACATGAGAGCTTTACATGAGAATAAAAAATAATTCTGCTTTTAAAAGACCATGTAAACACTTAATTCAGATTTAAGTTTAATTCCGAATAATCATTAATAATTAAGTGGGTGGTTTATTCCGATTTTAAAGCCGATTTATTCCGCAATCATGTAAATGTTTATTCCTCTTAAAAAATAATTCCGGTCTTTCAGCGCATGCTCATTGAATCACCTTTCTAACGCGATGACGCACTGCAAGATGGTGAAAAAAGTTTGGATCATATTTGTGTCAGGTCAGCCCAGTGTTCTCCGTACTTCTTTTTCCCTGTGCCTATGTAATTGTGAAAGGCACCGATGTTTAACGTTAACACCGCGAGCCGTCCTCATCCCAAGTTATCATCATGAAGTCATAAAACAGCAACATGTGGCCTAGAACTTTACTCAACTCACCGCACATCAGCACAGAGCAGAAGCACTGAGTTCGGCAGAAGAGCGAATTCCGTTTGGTTGGTTATTTCTTGTGCTGAGCGGCTCGTCCTCTGCACATTTGGTTCTTCTTGGGGAAAGTGCTTCTCGGTCCGAGGTACCTAACGCCACTTCCCACTCCAGCTTATCTGGGCCCGACCTGAACTGGAGCTGCTCCCGCTGGTTCAGGAGTCTGGGTGTGGACTGTTCCCCAGTTTGTATTGGCGTATCCCCATGTGTAATGACAAACAGAGATGACAAAAAAGCCGGTAGCAGCTGAAGTGTGTGTTTTCTTCTGGTCGACGTAAATACGTTTGTGTCCCTGTCCAATCAGAACCCTTCCAGAACTCCAGACGTTGAGCGGAATTAAATAAAACCGATTTAATGTTTTTCCATGTACCAACTTTAATTCAGAATTATTATTTAGATGTAAACTTGAAAGAGAATAATTTAATTCCAAACTATTTAATTCAGAATAATTAATTTGGAATTAAATAACATCATGTAAATGTGGCCCTTTGACATTTCACTTTCATACTGAGATACAGTGGCCACATTTACATAATGTTTTTTAATTAAAAATTAATTGGTATCTGGACAGTTTTTTTTTTTTTTTAATTGAGATTAAAACAGTGTCCAGATGACCTTTGAACCCTTTTCTACCATGAACCTTTCTTGGATGAACACATTTGAATGATTGCTATTATTTTTTTCAGAACCTGGCAGGGCCACAAGAGGCAGCAGAGGACGTCACAGAGGAGGAAGAGGAGGAAGAAGACGACGATGAAGAGGATGAAGAGGAGGACGACGACATCACCAGCGGCGAATCAGACGACAGCGAGGAGGAGGCAGACGTCCAGCTGCCCACGGCCCACAACAAAAACAAAAACTGGGACAAAGCCTTTTAAAGAGTTCCCCGTATCACCACGACAACAATTAAAAACACTTCTCTCCATCTGGAAAACCTCAACAAAAACAAGTACTCTGCCATACTTTGGGACGCTGAGCTCAAAGTACGAGGTCATAGCTCCCCCTAGAGGACGACACCGAATCACACAAACACGCCATGCAACGTGTCAAATGGAACTGGCACTGTTTTGTACCCAAACATGCTGTTCTCGCCTGTAATGAAATCACCAACAATCTACAATCTTTTCAAATACATCCCACCTGAAATAGAATTGGAAAATGTGCATTCACCGGGCCACACAACTCCAATATTCCACATTAAACATTTTAAAGGTGCACTACCCATTCATTTAATTGTATTTTATTTTATTTAGAGAGTAACGATCACTGTTACTCCACGTTTAATGTTAAAATTGTATTACTTTACTTGTAGTTTAGCTTTAACTTTTGTATGTTTTTTTCTATTTATCTTGTGATTAATCTTGTGCTTACAACAAAAGAGAAAACATCCATTGGGAACATAACTAGTTTTCATTTAATTCATCACAAAAATTATGGAAAGAATTAACTTTTTTCTGGAAAAATGATATATACATATAAATACACTGAAAAGTATATTTATAGTTAAAAGGCCCATATTATGCTGTTTTCTGATCTATGGCAAAGGAGAAATTCAATTTGTCAACTGGACAAAGTTTATTTGGTCGAGTACATTTCGTAGCTCATCCAAGCTGCTTCTTCAGTTCTGGTCTGAATGTTGGTGGTTACTTCTTTATAAAACAGCCACTTCACAAGAGGATGTACCAACACAGACGAGAGAGCAGCAGTGGAACTCAATCTGCTGTACATCTCCATCTAAAAGCCTCGGGCCATTCATTTGAGGATAGTGAGGTACAGATCTGACCCAGAGAAAAGAATTGGTTTGAAAGGGGAGTTAAAGAAGCTATTTTTGTTTAAGAGAATCCTTCTCTAAACAGAAATGGGAGATTCAGACACCATCTATCTCCTATTTACAACTCCATCCTCAAACCTAAATCAAAACAAACAAGAGACCAATAGCTGTCAGGTCAGGTCCAGAGGTGTGAAAGCTCCATTATGGCCCTGAATGATTCTGCTAATATGACTCCACACTCAGTGCATTTCAATAGGCCTAGCTAACTAACTGAAGAAGCAGCTTGGATGAGCTACAAAACATATTCGACCAAATAAACTTTGTCCAGTTGACAAATTGATTTCTCATTTGCCATGGATTCTACGACTGAGGGATTTTTCACACATTTCTGATCTATGTTACAATGTTGTTTCCTTATCACAAACATACCTGGTGTTGCGTTTTGTTTCATTCACACATGTTTAACACATAAACTCTACATATTTAAGCTGAGTTCTTCTCACAAACTGAAAATACTTTTTCAGTTTGTGATGTCATGTGGTGATACAGGAAGTGCCCCACTGTGTTCATACATCCTCACTAGAATAATTTGGATAGTTTCAGCCCTGGCATTTTTAATCTCTACAAAACAAAGCATAAAAGACAACTAACTTCAAAACTTCCTCTTCATGACATCACAAGGTGGAACAGAGCATTTTGAATTTTGGAGATTTAGACAGACTAATGACGAAGGATTACTCAAACATGTGTGAATGAAACAAAACAAAACTCTAGGTATGTTTTTGATAATAAGAGCATTATAACATGGCTTATATTTTGCTTAGTACAGGATCTTTAACTTTTTTTGTTTTATCATAACTTTGGGTAGTGGACCTTTAAATGATATTTGATTATATTTTGAACTGTAACTTTCTTTATTTAAGACTTTAAAGCAAAACCTGGTCATTTTACAGAAAAAAAAACACACTTTCACCTGATAAAAACTTTCAGATGTTGAGGTCATGTTGAGGTTTTCATTCAGTCCGGGGTTTGCAGCGAGACAGAAGAAAACTTGTACATTTTTATACGTTCTTGTAAATAGTGAGTCTATAGTAGGTGACCCTCCCCCTTTCCAAAAATCCTCTCACTTCATTGGTTCATATTGTCACCCACATAAGTCACATGACACCACTTCATATGTATGTACACATCCGCATCCGTAGGACACGCCCCTTCGTCATATGGCTCGCCCCTCAGTCGGTGTGTGTTGGTAGCACAGTGTTCAAAGTTTATTTCAATGAGATTTCGCCACGTCCACGAAAACGGCTACAGCCCACAAGATGGCGCCACTGTCTCAACTGGTCAACCAGAGTAAGGGATAGCGGACTAGTGTAGTGTAACTTTTTCTTATTTTTCCCACAACTTTGTAAAAATGAATTGATATTTCAAACTCAAATCATAATATGTCACTTTTAGCCAAAAATACACAAAAATATAAATGATAGTGCATGCAATTTTTTATTATTTATTGTTTATTGCTCTGAAAAACATTTGTTCTTACACTGAGCAGGCTTGCATCTCCACAAACCTGACTCTTATTTGGCCTGGAGGTGGGTTCTAGCCTGATTCATCAGCCAGTTTCACTTTGTAGAAACAGTCTGACCTCGCAGCATTAGGATTCGTTCACTCGACAGTAGGCAGGTACTTTTTAAATTTAACCAGTCGTTGCTATTTTGTCGTGAAGTATGTAATGCGCTGCTAATGAGGCTAAATTAAGCTTTTCCTAAATCCTGTAGGAAGAAGGGCAATAACGTCTTTCCCCTTGATAAAATTCACCAAACATTCTCTTTGTTCCAGCTTTAAATCCTTGATCTCGGGAATCGTTGCCAAAACAGAATATATGGCTCTTCACTGATTGGCTGGTGCCCAAACTCACACTTCCAGGTTTCTTGCAAACCGTCTACTGTATTCCGATTCCTGCGAGATTCCTAGAGAGAAATTTAAATTGAGCAGAGGCACTAGGTGGCGCCAGCCTGGTTTATAATATTGTTCAGTACTGCATAAAATCTATCAGTGGAGATTGTTACGGAGTATGATTTTAACTTTCTGTTTCCATGGACTCATGCAGATGATGTGCCACCTCCAGAAAGTTACATACTGTAGCTTCAAGTTATCCACAACAGAGTCAGGATTGTGTTGAAACTCCTCAAAGAATTTCAGCCAAGTGGAGATTTTAAGATGCAAGCTTTTATTTAAAAGTATTCTAAAAGTATAAATGTAATATCTGGGCGTTTTGACTGTGTGACCAGAGACATCAAATTAAAACCTAAACATAAAGCTCTATTATACTCGAGGGGTTAAAATGGGAAAAGACAGTTTGTGGCTAATAAAAGGAAACATAGTTATTTATAATTGTTTAATAGTTCAAATATTTAAAAAATTAACTTCCCGTAATTTATTGTCCATAAAGTCTTCATGAGGTTTGGCTCTGCTGCATCAGTAGGGCTGTATATATCTGAGTAATACACAACCATTTTAGGGAATTAAAGGGCCCGTATTACTGTATTTTTTATGTTATAATGTTGTTGCTGGAGTTGTTTTGTTTCATTCACACATGTTTAACATGCAAACCCTGCATAGTCAGGCTGAGTTCTTCTTTTAAACAGAAAACACTCTGCTCCACCTTGTCATGGCATTCCAGGATATCCTCCTGGAACCTGAAGAAAAAAAAGTGTATTGCAATTTTTTTTTTATGAGTTTCTATCTATTAGGAGGTAAATGAACACCTTAGCATTCAGATTTTTATTTATAATTTTGTAACATGTCCTCTGTAATGGACGTTGGGGACATTTTGGGGGTTAAACAAAGTTAACATCCTAACAATAACAACTTTTCTTATGACCAACATCTCTGACAAGCTTCTGCAGTCGCCTCAAAAAGTTTTTAGTCTCCCTTTAATTTCTTATTTTTTTAATCATAGTGCAACCACAAACTAACTCCTATTGAGTATTACAGTCTCTTTATGCAGAGGGACCTAGTGCCCGCATTAAAAGGAAGATCTCAAAACACTTAAAAGAGACTGGTTAATTCATGTCCACTATAAGGGACACAAATGAACGGGCCGGGTCTCGGGAGGATAATATGCTCCACTGTGTTTTTTTTTGTTGTTGTTTTTTTTACTCCATACACCTTCACTAGAATCACTTGGGTAATTTCAGCCCTGGAATTGCCAATGTCTACTGAACTAGAGCTAAAAAGTAGCTGTTAACTTGAAAACTGCTTCATGAGCATAAAGGGTTATTCAAACATGTGTGAATGAAACAAACACAACTCCTGGTATGATTTTATGGAGGTAACAATATTATAACATGGCTTAAAGTTCTCAACTGTTAAATTTGTGTAATATAGGACCTTTAAGACATATTTAAATCATTGTATTATTATTTCATGCTGCCTGGAATCACACAGAGTTAGTGGCACTTTTTTTGTTACAGCATTTCCCTTTGAGACAAACCTGTTTAGGGCATTAGTTTTAACTGTTGGCCCATTCACCTGTAGCTGTTCCTCTGTGTAAAGTGTCATGTAAAGTTGTCATGTTTATCACTGTCTCGTGCCCCTTTCCTCCTCTTCCGCCTCTCCTCGTCCTCTTTCTCCTTTTCTCTCTTCACCTTCTCCTCAACTCTCCTCTTAATCTGCTCCTTCAGCTCTTCTTCTCCTCCTCTCCTTTTCACCTCATCTTAAACTCTTATTTCTTCACCTCTCCACCTCCTCTTTCCTCTTCATCTTTCTGTCTATCTCTCTATCTTCATCTCCTCTCCTCCTTCTTCTCTCTTTTCCGGCTCCTTTTCTCCCACACTTCATCTGCTCCCGTTACTCTCCTCATCCTCCTCTTCTCCTCTCATTTTCTTTCTCTTTTTCTTCCTCCTCCTCTCCTCTTCACCTCCTTTTCCTCCTTCTCTTCCTCCATCTCTTCACCTTCTCTTCTCCTCCTCCTCCTTTTCCTCCAGCCCCGATGTGTCCCACGTTTGTTTAGATGAGGAGAAAGCAGAATTCAGAACTTGTAAAATGTGTAAAAGTTGAATTATTTTTTTGTTTTTCTCTGGACTCTTTGGTCTGTTTCGTTTGGAA